CCAGCCAGTACTTCAAGATTTTTCCAAAGAAATGGGTTTAATTTGCTCTACAGAAAAATGACTTGAAGTTACATTATTTTTCCAGTGGTTCCACAGGGAAACACAACTTTTTTCCCTCTCCAAATCTTTTTATATAATTGAGATAATAGTGGTTTTTTGTTTTTTGCCTTTATAAACTTTACCTTTATGCTGATATCTGGGAAATGGTGTCTCTTGTTGACACAACCACCACTCTTAGGCAGCTGTGTATTTGTTAAATAACCTCAACAAACTCAAGGCTATTTATTTAAAATTTAAATGACAAAGAATGTTGAGCAGTTCAGCTTTTCTGTGAAGGCCTAGAAAGTGTTTAGAGACATTAGTGCCCAAATTATCCCTCTGTGAGAATAAGTCAGGAGATCTGTTTGTTTGTTTAGGTATCCAATGAGCCTGGCAATCGTTACAACCTGCAGCTCATCAATGCACTGGTGCTCTATGTCGGGACTCAGGCCATTGCGCACATTCACAACAAGGGCAGCACACCTTCAATGAGCACCATCACCCACTCAGCTCACATGGACATATTCCAGAACCTGGCTGTGGACTTGGACACTGAAGGTGAGTCAAGCCAGCCTCTACTCAGAGTCAAGTTCTCTGCACTTTATGCCACAGTCCAGTCATAAAAAAATACCTTAAGCCACAATCAAGAAAACATGTTCTGTCATTGTTTATGTGTCTGCTGCCTATTTTTAATTGGACAGTATCTACTCAGTGCAGGAAAGCATAAAGGAAAGAATCATCTAGAGTGCTTACCACATCAGTGAATATTTCAGTGTCTAGCACTTCAGTACTTTTTTAGTGTGCAAAATAAACATGTTCCTTTTATTAGCCTCTCTTTAAAAATAGCCTTATGTTACATTGTTTTGTTAGCCTGCCTTTTCCCCAGCACTAACTGGTGCTTATTTGGCAGGCAGCACTCATGAATGGGACTTCCCCTACTTGCTCTGCAAAAAGCTCACAATATAATTTTTACTGTAGGTTGTCTGTGAACTACCATTACTCTTGGTGTTCTATATTCTTATGTAAGAGACCGCACTAGGTGGTATCTTACTTTATAGTCCTGCTCATTATAGCACACACACACTTTATAAGGATGCCTGCCTGCTATGAATTCTTGAGAATCTAATTTTGAGTATGTGTGTACTGTTGGCCTATTTGTAGAAGGGATTTGAGTCAGCTTAAAATCAAGATTTTAAAAAATTGAATATCATTATGTCCAGAGCCCAGCAAAAAGAGAGAGTAGTCTTTATGGACGTTAAAGCTCACTGCACTAGCCTTATAAACGTGAGTAATATAGTGGTTCTGAAAGTGTGAACTGAGAACCGTTTTTAGGGAGTTCAGGACCCTTTTAGAAGGGCTGTGAGGTCAAAACTATTTTCATAATAATTTGGCTTTTCTTGCACTCATTTTGTAACAAGTGTATGGAGTTTTGCAGAGGCTTCATGAAATGTAATACTGGGACAGATTAGAGACGGCAAAAATGAGAATCCAGCTGTCTTCTATTAAGTGAGATTGAAGAGATTGGCAAATTAAAACAGTGACATGCTTCACTAAGACTTTTTAGGGGAAAAACTTTTTAATGTAGAAATACTGAAATAAAACCCACAGAAATGGAAAAACTCTTAGGGACCTAAGAACCGCAGGATAATTAGAAAGCTTATAGCAGAAATCTAAATCCTACCCAGTCAGAATGATTTGTCTTCTTACCTTGGCCTTATAGAGCAAGTCCTCACTAAGCTGGATTTTCTTGATTTCTAGGTCGGTATCTCTTCTTAAATGCAATAGCAAATCAGCTGCGGTACCCAAATAGCCACACTCACTACTTCAGCTGCACCATGTTATACCTTTTTGCAGAAGCCAACACTGAAGCTATCCAAGAACAGATCACAAGGTAAGAGAGGTTTTTTTTTCAGATGCTTCTAAATTGTGCCTCTGCCTGTTTATTATGAATCCTCTGTTTTTCCTATGCATTGAGCATCTTTTACACGTTAAATGTGATATGGTTGTGAACAATCAATGACACGCAGTTACAGGTCATTGTCAGTGCAGAAATAAAAAGTAGTTTGTAACAAAAGACAGCAACATTTTAAGGTCATGGGATGGTGGCAGTGCAGTTTTTAATCAGAGACCTGATGTCACACAGGCCTGTTAATGCCCATGGTAAGGTGCTTGGACTTCTTTATTACCTCTAGGTTAAAAGGTTTTTTAAGCAGTAGAAATAATGGGATCATACTCGTGTTTTCCTGACAGTAGTTAGGAATCTTTTGCATACTGCTTGGCTACACAGCACTGGATGTTGAGAAATGGGTTGATTCTAGTGAGAGGCATATGCAAGTACTTTAAAAACTGGGCCAGACTTTTTAAACTTGCCCTTTCACTTAATAGTAGTTTGTGGGTATTAGGTAACAGTAGTCTGGTATTTTATATACCAGAAATTAAGTGGTGAAAATGTCCCTATCTTGTGATTATTTATAAAGCTGTAGTAAACTTCAATCTTTGTTCTTGTGCTTTGTTATTTTCTTGGTAAATTTAGAAATATAGCTGGTTAGGTAAAAGAATATTTAAGCCAATACTAAATTGCCATTCAAAAAAAGTACACCAGTTTATACATGTGCTAGTAGTAGTAGATTTATTTCCCTTCATTGAATGCATGCTTTAAGTGATTACTTTCTTGTACCATGTAATGTGATAGTGTCCTTACTTGACTGTAACTTAGTCTCTTAGGCTCAGTAATGGGAACACGCAGGATTCAAAGCTAGGTTTCCTAATTCTAGATTCTACTTTCATTAATTGTGCTGTATAGAGTATAGAGATTGATCCACTAGTCTTTAGTAAAGCTAACAACTTTTGCATGTAGTTTAATAATCAGGAAGAAGAGTTAGGCCAAAAATAAGTATTGTAGAAGTGGTCCTGAATTTGTGTTTCTCTGTGCATTAACTTATTCTCCCCTTCTCCAGGGTTCTCTTGGAACGGTTGATTGTAAATAGGCCACATCCTTGGGGTCTACTTATTACCTTCATTGAGCTGATTAAAAATCCAGCATTTAAGTTCTGGAACCATGAGTTTGTACACTGTGCCCCAGAAATTGAAAAGTAAGTTAAAAGTAATTTTTTAGTGGTCTAAGAATGAGACAGGAGAATGAGGATCATTTGATGGCTCCAGCCTGGGTGGGTGATATAGTTATTAATAAGACACAGAAGTATTATCAGGTCTGAACTTTTTCTCACAAAGTTGCAACTCTCTCCCTTCTCCAGGTTATTCCAGTCGGTTGCACAGTGCTGCATGGGACAGAAGCAGGCTCAGCAAGTAATGGAAGGCACAGGCGCCAGTTAGGCGGAACTGCGTCTCTGTTGTGACCCTGTCAGCCTGGTTGTCCCACAGCACCGAGTCCATAAGCTGGCTGAGGAACCCTTTCAGCTCTTCCAGACTTTCCCAGCCCTTTGGTTCTTGGGTATCTGCCCCAATTACTGTTTGGGTCAGCTTCCTGTCTCTGTGGGCACGTTCCAAAGTTTAAATGCATTTTTTGACTCTTCGCCAAAATTTAGAAAATGCTGTGAATATCATTTTGAACTTGTGTAAATATATGACAGAGAAAACCTTTGTCTGGAACTTCTTGGGTTTGTGCAAAATGTGTCCAAGGCAAGTACATAAACTGGTACCTGTCCAGCTTATTATTGAAGAGGCTGCTGCTGCCATGCACTTGTCTGGGGACATAGCTCCATGTCTTCTGACATTCCTGGTGTCCCAAAGAAGTAGCAAAGAAAGCCAGATAGATACTATGTAACTTATTTTTTTAATGTGGACAGGGGACCTTGAAAATTATCGAGTTGTTAAAAAGTGGATGTGGTGGAACTTAGTATACCAGAGAACCTGGGAAGAGCTCACAGTTGCGATCCCATGGGGTATTGCTTTGTCCCTTCTCAAACCTAAAGCTGACTGCTGGAGAGCATCATTTTTTCATTTTCTGCTGGAGAGTGTGCCCTTTTTATAAAGGGAAACCAGACCAGGCCTAAAGCTCCCCCATCTCTCCTGATACTTGTAAACAGAGGAAAGGGAACCGGATAGTATGAACTGCCCCTCCCCCCACTTTTATCCCAGGCTAAGTTGAATGAATAACAACAAAGTCAAAAGGACCAATACTGTCAGTCCCTTTTGTAAGGATTTTGAGTGTTTTGTAAATGTATTGGTCCGGTGTTGTATTTTGTAGCCTTTTTAGTTCCTGGGCTTTAGCTCCCCTACTTCTTGTATGTGTATGCATACTGTAGACAATGCAAACATTAAAAGTCATGACACACACGTGAGTCCACTGTGCCTTTTCTCAGTAGCAGCAACCAGTGCTGGTGGTGAGGAGGAAGTGGACAGCCCACCCTTGCAAAGCCCAAGGTCTTTGGGAACCACCAGCTTCTTGCTGAATGGTAAATCTTTTCCATTACTTTTGAACATGTTTGGCACGTTCAAACAAGCAAGCGAGCGATTTTTTTAAATGCAGCGTCTCTTCCTGTTCCTTTTCAACAGTAGAAAATTAACCATGGAAACCTGCTCTAACAATTACAAAATGCTCTATATTTTTAAAAGATAGGGGTAGGGGTGTGTGTGTGTGTACGTACGCGCGCGCACCCCCCCCCCCCCCCTGCTTATACCTTTACACCTTTAATGGCTGTCCAGTTTTATAGCCAGAGAGGGCAGAAATGTCCGAGGTTAAACAGAAAATCTTACATGAAGTGAGGCTTGAATGTCATTGGTGTCTTGCACTTTCTTCCCTAAGGGGGAGAGGTGCCATCTAGAGCAGACTTCAGACTGCTGAGGGGAGTATCATTGACATCACTTACTGTGTCCTCTAAGGGAAGGAAACAGTCTTTTTTTTTTTTTTTTAAGGTAAAGCAACTTGCTTAAAATAGACCCAGATTTTAACCAGGTCTCCTTACAAAGTCTGTGTTATTTAACACTTAGACTACAAGACCTTTTACTGTGAGTCATGTTTCTGCTAATTTTGGTTCAAACTGAGAAAAGAACAGCTATGAAGTGTTTTGATCAAAAAAAAAAAGTTTTAAATGATAACAATAGTAAAAACCAAAAAAATATGTATTGTTCTTGGTGACAATTAGCAGCAATTTCCAAGTCTCCTGTTCCCTTACCTCACAGTTCATGTTAGCACACCTTTGTTGCTTTTCCTTTTGGTATTTAATAAGAAAAGCAAACCTAAAAATCCAAAAGTTCCTCCTTTTCGAGCATAAATGAACATCAGCTTACAATGAAGTTCTTCTCATGGCTGTTTCATGGGTGTTCCAGGCAACAGGGAACCTACTCAGCTTAGCCTGTCAGTTCCAACAACTGGTGTAAGATCATCTTCTGACCATAACGAACCTGTAAGGCCTGTTGTTCCCTCCGGCTGAGTTTGGTGTACGCCGCCTCATTACTAAGTAGATGTTGCTCAGTTTTTAAGTCTGTGGCATAGGTCTGCAGGGTCAACAGAACACTGTCCCGTAGAAGCTGCCTCCATGATTCTTTGAGCTTGGGGATATTCGTGACTGTCAAGCTGTCCTCTCCCCTTCCATCTTCTCCCCATCCATCCTGGTCTTTCAACACTCTGAACTCCTTGGCAGGCATGCACAGCACCTAGGAACAACCGTAGGGTCCTTAAATTGGGATATGCTACTGGTATATTTCTGAAGTTCATGTAGAGAAGCCAACGTGTCTTGGCAGCATCCAAGTATCCTCTTCCCTTCATCCCTCCTTCCTCCTCACCTAGCCTTAGCTCTAAATACTCAATTGGCTAAAAAGGCCATTACATATTTTCTGTAAAAAAGACACATTTCTCATTTTCACCAGTAACTTTATGGATTTGTATATTTTGAGTATGTCAGCGGTCTCCCGCCATTGGCTTAGGGTGCTGCTAAACACCTTCCAATGCATCAGACGCACAGCAAAGAATCCCTTGGCCAAAATGTCAACAATACAAAAAACTTTCGCAAACCACTTTTGACACGTTCTATCAATCACAGCACCTTCTCCATACACTTCACAAACCTTATTTTGCATTTAAGTTGTTTCTACCTTTCTTGAAATACAGCATAATATGCTGAAGATGTTGCTTCTCCCATCTTCAATATTAAATGGCTGCACAAAAATTCACTCCCCCCCCCCCCATGCATGCTGATGTGAGAGCTGTCACAATACATTCTAACAAAATTGTTTCAAATGAAGTCAAAGACAACCAAGCACTAACTAGAGCCATCTGGGGGAAAAAATTGCAGCAGACTTTGGCCATCCCACTAGGCTGGCCAGCTTTCAGCATTAAATGGCAATTTTCAGCCCTTTACCTTGAGTGTGGTGGTCAGTTCCTCTGCAGTCAGCACCTCTTCCCAGCCAATCACAAAGGCTCCCTCTTCCCCTACCATCTCTAGTTGGCACAAGTAATCCCAGCGTTCGTACAACATGAGCCTTTCAGCTTCACTTTTCGTTCCTGTAGACAGAAAAGTAATAGTGTGCAGTCTCGATACCAAAGAGCTCATTTCTAAGTGTACCACCTAGTCTGCAAAAAAACCCTGCTATTTAGCAGAGCTCCTGAGGCGGGGATAGAGGCATGTCCAAGACCGAGTTCATCACTCACCCTGTAGCGCCGCTTCAAGAACTGTCACCATCTGAATGTCGGCTGTGTCATCTGTGTTGGCAGGGTATGGTTCAACAAAACCGTACATATGAATCAGCTGCCAATTAGCCATCTTCCCGTAAGTGTTGAAAATTTCATGGTCTTTTGGAATGGGCCGAGTAGCCACCATCCGAAGACAGCTCTAGAGTGGAAGGGAGAAGCTGGGACCAGGCCCTTCCCAGATCAGCCGCAGGATTCCTCCCCTTAGGAAGACCCTCCAGCAGATTTAGTTCAGTGATGGGACTGATGCTACGCTATACCCTCCAGCAGTAACTTTCCACATAATCAACAGAATCAATGGATTCGGCCCTGGCATCACAAGGCTGGCCTGCTGCGCACATGGTTCCCTGGCGTGCAGAGCAGCCAACCTCCAGCACCAGGTAAATGAGGGTAGTCAAGTTCACCAGAGGATTAGCCACAGCTTTGAAAGCTGGAGGTGTTTTGTGCTCCAACGACTTCATTGGAATATGCAAATGAATGTTTACAGGAGGAGCTAGCTTCCCTTTTCAGCACACGGAAATTGGAGCCCATTTACCAGTGGGCATAAATGGCAGGCACTCCTCTGAATCAGGCGCAGGCGTCAAGGCACAGAACAAGAAGTGGGAGGGTCCACTCACTGAGGAGTATTCTAGATTGGCATTGTGATTGGCTAAGTGGTTTAGAATGTCTGCAGCAGGCACCATCAAAGGGGGGTTGGGCTCCTTTTCATCCTCCTCTTCCTCCAGTGGTTCCTGAAAGCTACCAGAGAGAACCTGGCTAAAGCCCAGGACCGGCTGAGAGGCTGGGGCTGGGGGTTCACTGTTCTTCCCCCGCTTGTCCCTCGGTAGAGCTCTAAAGAAAAGGGTGTTTCCGAAGCTCTGCTCACTGACCTGTAGGCCATCACGAGAGCCACGAGCTGGTGGTAGAGCTCCAGGGAGCGCACCCTGGGGCAGAAAAGGTCAGGGTGGGCTTCCATGAAAGGCAGAACGATGGAATGGTACTCGCTGCGGATGTTGGCCAAATCCTTCTCCACGGCCTCAGGTACCCCCGTGCCTTGCAGCAACCGCCGGCGCTCCTCCTCGGGCCTGCAGGGGCACCCCACCAAGGTTCCTTGGCACACCCTCCCGGGACCAGCGCCTGGGAGGCAGCCCTGACCCCGGGCCAGGGCGGCTCCGGCCAGGCTACACAGCTCGGGCGCTCCCCAGCCCCTTCCACGGCTCTCACCAGAACATGGGGTGCTCCAAGCGGCCTAGCTCGGGCCAGAGCGCGAAGTAGGGGCTCCAAGGGGAGGCCGGGGCCTGCAGCTCGTGCAGCAGCGCCAGCAGCAGTGGCACCCAGCCCGACTGGCTCTCAAGTGCGCCTCGCTCTGAGGGAGACAGCAGTGAGAGCCCCGGCGCGACCCGCGAGCCCGCCTGGGTGTCCCAGCCCCGCCGGCGAGCCCACCTCGCTCCAGCAGGCCGCTGATCGAGCAGGTGTACTGCGAGAGGAGCGCGGCGCGCGGCACCGCGAACAGCAGCTCCCCGGGGTGCACGCTCTCCCGGGCCACCATGCCGTAGCCGGCCACTGTGCCCTGCCGGCTCACCGCCACCTAAGCAAGGGGCAGCAGCGGATCAGAGCTGGCCCGCGCCCGCCAGGTCTCCCGCCCCAACCCCCACTCACCTTAGGACTCAGCTCCAGCCCCACGCGCCGGCACCAGCTCAGGAAGCCGGCCACCGGGTCCGGGTCGTTGTCGTCGCCGCCGCCCGCAGGCCCGACCACCTAACACGACCGAGCTCATTGGCGGGGCTCCGCCCCGGAGCTCTCGCAGCGCGGGGGAGACAGAGGCGCGCACCGCGGAAGGGCTCTGGGTGGGGGAGGGGCAGAGAGCCTCGAGGGCCCTGCCGGAACGAGGAAGGGGAGGAGACCCCCGCGCGGGACGGACTGCGGGCGGGGCAGCGCGAGCCGCTGTGCGAAGCAGTGGGCCCCCGCCGGCCGCCCACAACTTACCCGCCGGCGCTTCGCCTGAACAGCCATGGTCGGAGGGCGCGCGGCCCAGCGCCACAGTAGAGCTGCACGGCGCTTCCGGCGTCCCTGGCCCCACCCCGAGGCGGGACTCTGGGGGGCGGAGTCTATATGGTCCCACCCGCCCCGCAGCCACGTGGGGCTCGTGTCAGAACCCAGGCGGAAGACGAGTAGGGATTTGCACCCGGTCCGATTCTTCTGCGAGTCTCGGTGTCCCCACTTGGGTTTAGAAAATGTGCGGTCGGATGCATGAAGATGTGTCCCATGCCACCTCGAGCCTGGTTCTGAGCCAGACAATAACCCTTCCCTTTGGTCTCTGACAGCTGAGACCTTGGGGTAGTGCGACTGCGGCTGGGAGCGCACCCAGGTAGGCGCCCTCCTGCCTTCTTTAAAAAAAAAATGATTGATTGCTCTCTGAACTGTAGCCCGGGGGAATGCTGAACTGCGGACTTTTTTTTTTTTTTCCTTAAAGATGGTACCTCTGACTGGCATGTTCTTAAAACTGGCCTGATTTGACAAAGGGAGGCGGTGCGGGGGGGGGGGGGAGAGGGAGGGAGGGAGAGAGAGAGAGAGGATTTTAAAGGGACTAGGACTTAATGGCAGAATTCTGCCATTATTCTACCGTATTTTGCCGTGCATAATGGCACCTTTTGCCCAAATATTTTAGGGAAAAATAAGGATGCTCATTATACATGGGTAGTACTAATTTGTTACCAATACATACAATTTCTTGTACCTTATCTGCACTTGTGTTTTGTAATTATGTTACATAAAATTCTTGTACCATACTAAAAAAAAAAGCTGAAATTCCTTATAATACAAAAAAACAAGTATCTAAATACATAAATAATTGAATTAAAAAATTAAAGCAGAAGATTTTTTCCCCTGAAAGTTTGGGCCAAAGGTGTGGGTGCGCTTTATACCTGAAAAAGTACGGTAAATCTGTATAACTTTTAAATAAACAATTCTTTTCCTTCCTACCAAACTCTGGCATGGGGAGTCTTTGGGGAGCGATCCAGCCCTTACACCTGTTTTGGAACTGCAAATGCTGGCATTCTGTAACACCGCCGTCACACTCGCTAGTACATCCGTTTTCATTGAATGCACAGCGCACAGTGGGTTTTATTTACTTGCTTTACTAGCTGACACACAGCAGGAAATCAACCTCTACTGGGTAAATGGCTGAGTAAATCAGAAGTGGTTAAACGTGGGGAAGGAAGTAGCTGCTGTTAAATTTAAGAAAATGAGGCCGTGCCCTGGTTAGGTGGCTGGGTCGGCTGGATCCTTGGTCAGGGCACATATCTAGGTTGCAGGTGTGATCCCCAGTCGGGGTGCCTGTGGAGGCGACCAGTCAATGTTTCTCTCTCTCTCAAATCAATGAGCATATTCTCAGGTGAGGATTAAAAAAAAGAGAGAGAGAGAGAGAGAGAGGCAGCGAATATACAGGTTACAGGCTTGTGTTTTGAAGTCAAACAATGCCAAGGCCAGCACCCCACTTGGCTTTCTTAGGGCAAATCCCTTCCCCTGAGGCTCAGTTTCCCCAGCTGCAGACTAAGATATTATCTATCCTGTAGATTTAATGTGAGAATGGGCAGGATCATGTATGGGACCAGAAGTGGAAACACGGAGGTGGATGGGAAAGTCTGTTCTCACTCGGCGCCTAAACCCAGGACGCACCAGCCAGCCTCGCCGGCCTGGACGCTCTCTCCTCAAAAGCCTCCCACAGTGCCCATGACATCACTTGACTCAAATTCTTCTCAGTTTCTTTATTAGTTTTCCAGCACAGTTAATGCTTTCTACGTTGACAAGGGTTTTTTATTTGCCTTACATTTTGTCATTTCTGAGTCTCATGACATTAGCCACTAGAATACACAAAATTAGGCTCTTCACTGTACAGAGAAGAAAGTAATAAACTCCATTAAAAGTTCACTTTGACCAAAGAAGAGACAACCTCCAATAGAAAACCACACACAGGAGGAACCCAATATACACACATATATATATAATGTATAGGTATTTATAGATATCTCATCTGAAAGAACACAGCAAAAAAAAGAAAAATCCAACTTGCATCGCTATCTACAATAAGAGGAATTAAGTCTACCAGCTTTTCAAATAGTCACATTCAATATTCAAAGGAAGCACGTGAGTGAATAGAACTGGGGACAGACTAACACTCCACCAGGCTCTAAAGCAGTCTAGCAATGGCTTAAGATTATAGAAGGGGGGTGGGCTATGTGCAATGTGGATGCGGGTGCCCTCCCAGCCTCAGAGCACCCCCCCACATACACCCCCCAGCCCCCCATTTTTCATAGCTTTCCCCCCCTCTCCTTTTACCTGCTGTGGGGTTTATGGCCATTGATTTAGGCTCTGAGACAAATGGCTTCTGGTTTCTGGGCCAGGAGATTCTGCCTCATAAGGTGGTGGGTGGGAAATATATGGCACAGTCCTGGGCTTTAGGTGGCAGGAGGGGGCTGGGGTGTGGGGGAGCCGGACTCCTCTGCCTGGCCCTCGCTTCGGCCAGGAACCTTCGCCTCCCACGCGAGGGTCCAGCGAGCCCTGGCCCGGGCCGCTCCAGCAGGCCGAGACGGCGGTGGGCCTGCAGAAGTCTCGTTACCCTGGGCAGTTCTAAACAAACTCTCCTTCCTCAGTGGTGAGGGAAAAGCCTGGCATAACTTTACCAGCATGTTTTTGGCGGCCTTGGCTATACTGTCCTCCATGGAACCTGGGGCAAAAAGGGGATCTATTGGGACTTTCAGCCACCTGCTGCCTGTGGCCACGTGATGGCTCCCAAAGGCAGACAATGTGAAGTTCTCGGGGGTGCACCCAGCTCTCCTCACTGGCCATCCCAGCCTTCAACCTCGGCCCCCAAGTCAGGTTCCTGTGGAGATGGAAGACCAGGAGACTTTCTGCTTCAGGGCCTTGGTTCAGAAATGAGACAGGGCCAGGAGGTGGTGGAGTGTGTGACCTGGAGGGGACAGCCTGCGGGGTTCTTGCCCTCAAGGTCCTGTTTTGTTCTCCTTGGACAGGGAAGCCACCTTCTTCTGCCCCTACCCGCCTGACCCGACAGCACCAGCAAAAACAGCGGCCTGGTAGGAGCGCCCCCTTGTGGCTACTGTGCAGATGATTGTCACCTGTGCTACATGAGAGAAGCAGATGTGCTTGGTGGAGGGGCTGGGCGGGTAGGGGCCCTGCAGAGCTCCCTGCTGCCGTCTCCTGGTTCTCCTGCCAGTGCCTGAGCTGGACCATTGCCGCCCCCCCCCCCCCGCCCCTGCTGTCCCAGCCCCATCACCTCACAACCCCATCCCACCCTCACACCTGCCTGCCAAGGGGGTCATCCCACGCTCGCTCTTTCACAGTCCAGGATATTATCCTGGATCCTGGCCAGAGAAGGGCTCAGTCTTTCCTTGCCTGTGGATCCCCCTCCTGCCCGGGCGGTGGGGAGTTGGAAGAGAGGGGTCCAAGCCGGCCAAGTCGACATTAGGGGGGCAGGGGTGGGGAACCATCTGGAGACTGCTCTGCGGTAGCATCTAAGAGACGGAGCCCCACTTCCTCCCCTTCGCCCTCACGGGAATAAATAAAAGAGAAAAGGAGCCAGTGCGGGGATGGCAGTGGGACTTCAGTGAGGGCGGGGGGCACGTGGGCGTCTTCGGGGGACCGAGGGCTTCAACAGGACACCTCCATAGTGTGGTTGACCTGGCCCAGCCCCTCGCTGCTCTCCGAGTGGGTGCAGGCCTGCGGGCGGCTGCCATCCACCGAGCTGGCGCTGGTGAGGGACGCAGTCCGAGAGCGGGCCAGGCGGGTCATGCTGGCCGAGGGCACTGTGGACAGAGGAGGGACCCGGCATGAGGGCCAGCAGGCAGGGCCAGGCACCAGCAAGCGGGAGGAGGATTCACACAAGCAAAGCGGCCAGCGAGACTCGTTCTTCCAACGGCACAAGGGACCCATCCCAAGGCCAGGGCTTTGGCGTCTGCACTGTCAAGCTGAAGGCATGCAACGCCAGTGACAGTAGGTGAGCCAAAGGGCCAGGGGCCAGGGGCCAGGGGCCGCAGGCACCAGCAGGACCCTCTCACAACAGCCGGCCAGAGATACGACCAGGACAGGGCAGGTGGGAGATGACCGGGTATCCCAGAGCCAGCGTGAGGACGGGGCATGATTTCCACAATGCCTGTCTCCATAGGATGGTGGGGCTGGGGGAGTAAGGTGACTTCGGTAAAGGAGGACAAGCTGCAGTGGCCTCAAGCTGCCCCAAACCCCGTTTCTGCCCTCATTCAGTCTCACAAGCAAGACTCAACCTTCCTGAACTCAACCGGCCATCTGTCCTGCTCAGGCATGGCCGGGCGCCCCTGCCCCAGGACGGGGCCTGGGCTGGATCTCTGCCGGGGTCTGGTTCCACCTGCCGGAGCTCTGGAAGCCACACAGCCCAGGGCAGCCTAGAAGCAAGACTGCCCTAAAGCCCAGCCAGCCTATAGCCCTAAAAACGGACAAAGCCCACGCGGCCCAGGAGCTGCGGACAAGCAGGACTCTTCGCGCTCTGCAGGTAAGCAGGACACAAGAAGGTTCCAAACCACAGCAAGGTGTGGCCTGGCTCAGCACAGCACAGAGGAAGGAGCAGGGCGGGCCTGGGGGGTGGGCTCCATGCATGGGGAGGGGCTACAGGGCTACCTGCTCCTCCACTCAGCCTTCGGTCCTTCAAGTACGCAACTGAGAGAGAAGACAGAGCCAAGGAGGGGCGGGGGTGGGGGAGACAGAACACAGTGAGGAGCACGGTCCAGCGAAGCAGGGGTGTTGAGATGGACCAGAGATAAGACCAAAGGACAGGAACGAAGGGCTGGGGGCAGGGCTAGACTCCTGCCCACCCACCAAGCAGCAGGCACAGAAGGAACCACACAGCAGAGACTGATCTCAGCCCAACCCGGGGAGCCCCAACAGCAGAGTAGGGGCGCATATCCGGTCTGCCGCCTCTCCAGCCAGGCTGCGCACTGAGGCGCTGATGTCCACATCCTACCCAGTGCCCTCGCTGTTCTGCTGGGCCTCAGTGCCCCCGGGGACAGAATGGGGAGGCCTGCACAGCTCTTGGGCTGCGGGGCACAATTTCTCCGGGGCCCCGACGGGCGATGCTCATCCCCCTGCCCTGCGGGTGTTCCTTGGGTAGTGCCGGGGCCAGCCTTGGAGCTCCTGCTGTCCCGCGTCTGGCCTGGCCTCCTTGCCCTACTTCTGCTCAGACAGGCGGAGGCCCCTGGGGCCAGAGGAGAGCTATTCCTGGATGTGCCTCCCTGCCTTCCCCCACAGGCCTGTCCCCACACCGCAGTGCAGCGCGAGCTCAAGGCTGACGACTGGGGGGGAACAACAATCCAGGGACAGGGGTTGGGGAGATGTGCACGCGTGTGAGCGTGTGTGAGTGTGTTGGGAGCTCACAAGCACAGCCTGGATCTGAGCACAAGGGAAGTTTGGAAACGGGAGAGGTGGAGAGGGGGCCAGTGCCACCCGTAGCCCTTACACTCCCAGGGTCCTCAGAACGCCACCCCAAGTTCAGCTGCCTTCAGCTCTCCTGATGCCCAGGTAAGCCCCAGGTGCCTCCCCGGTCCCCAGACTCCAAGCCCACTCTTCCGATGCACCTGTGACAAAAGCCCTTCTTAGGTGCTATCGGCCCCGCAGGGGTGGGTGGGGCAGACGACCCCTTCAGGCAGGCTTCCCCGACAGGACCCAGCCTGCGCCTGGTCCCCCAGGGCCAGGAGAGCTGGGCACAGCCTGGGCCAATGCACTTACAATGGAGGTGAGGTGGCCTGGAAGGTCTTTGTGTGTCCCCGGACGCAGAGGGAGCATGTGGTGAGAGGGACCCCGCATCAAGGTCCCCGGTACCACAGAGCTCGCCCTCCCACAGGCTGCTCAGCAGCACCCGGCAGACGCCAGCCCCACCCTGCTGCCTGCCGCCACCGGCTGGGGTGGGCTGGGCGGAGGTGTACTTACTGTAGCCCATGCCTTGCAGGAAGTACTTGAAGGCTTCAGTCAGCTTCCCTGGCTGCAGGAAGGAGGGACAGACACATGCTTGGAGTGGCTGTCTAGGACCAGGGCAAGGGGGGAGAAGGGAGGTCCCCCCAGCCCAGGCTAGGTAAGGGAAGGGAGGCTCACCTGTGTGACCTGGGGGAGCCCCCCGGAATCTGCCATCTGCAGGGGAGAGAGCGGGGTGAGCGGAGCAGGGGCTGCCCCACACCTTGCCTGGCCCTCCCACTGGGACAGGCCCGCTGACCCGACATACCGACCCGGCTGGGGCCCCACGCAGGCCCCCCACCGGGGCCAGGCTCGTGGTCCCAGGGCTGGGGAGGAGGGTCTCACCTTCAGGAAGGTTGTGGTGGTTGGGTCCAGTTTGGAGTTGCACTCAACCTGGGGATGAGCAGGCTGTTTTAGCAGAGCGAGGTGGCCCCAGCCTCTGAGCTGGGGTAGGGGTGGGGCGCAGGGGGAGCCCCTGCCCCAATTGCTGATGCAGGTTGTGTCCCCAGAGCTGGGAGGCTGTCGGTGCTGACGAGGAGTGGGGGAGGGGCAGGCCCAGGCCAGCTCCTAGACCCTGGCGGAGGCTGCACTTCCCCAGGACCTTGAACTCCACTCACAATTGCTGGGAGGGCTTGGCAGCATCAACAGGGAGCGGGGCCCAGGGAGACTGGGGCTGCTCCCTGCACCTGGAGGGCTGAGCGGGGCACTTCTGGGGCCCGGCCCTCTGTGCTGAGAGGGCCATGAATTCCCAGAGTTCCCAGGAGAGGTGACACAGAATTCCCAAACGTAATGGGTGCAAGCAACGGTCAAAGGGGACCGCTGCTGTGCTCAGGAGTCGCTGGTACTTATTTCACACTGAACGGATCCGAGTTTAGAGAAAAGACAGATCTCAGTCCCTGGGCCTGACACCGGGTCAGGGGGAGGTCCCCTGGCCTAACTCGCCTGTGGCAGGCGGTGAAGCAGGGCACGTGGTGCGGAAGGGGGCCGAGGAGCCCACCCTCAGGCCTGCCCCTGAGGCCTCCCGGAGCAGCTGGCTGGGGCCCCGACCCCCTCGCCCCTGTGCCCACCCCCAGCCAGAGCACAGCCCCTCACTCACCACCCCATCCTCCGCAGGCGCGTTGTCCCCAACCACCAGCATCACGGGGCAGCTGTGGACACAGGGGACAAGGGCTGTCTGGCCTGGGCATGCGGGGGGCAGGGGAGGCGGGGGCAGGCTGGAGGACGAGGGGACACTCACCGCAGTGTCTTGGCATTAGGCACCGTCCCAGGCCGGTTGATGTCCAGGTCTCTGCGGCTACAGGGAGAGGCGGGGCGGTCATCCAGGACTGGATGGGGGGCTGTGTGTCCCAAGCCTGACACTGCGGTATTTCAGCCCCCCCTCCCCCTACTGTGGCAATTAGGGCTCAACACCCCCGGGGCCTGGGCAGGTAAAACGGGAGACAAGAACCTGCTCTGCATCAGTGGGAACCTTCAGGGCTCCTCTCATGCATTACCTCTTCCCAGGTCCCCAACCTCATGCCCCATGGGCCCTCAAATTTGGCTCTCCCCATCCCCCCCGCCGCCCCCCGGGGCCGCTTGGGTGGGCGCAGCCTGGGCTGTGGGATTTGGCTGCTTGTTCTCCATTGTTCGCCAGCGCCCTACATGTGGCTGGTGCTTAGGAAACTTTCGCAGGAGCAAGAGAAGGGGAAGCAGGCGAGTGGGGGCCTGGCCACTTCCCTGCGGGGCAACCCCCCACAGGGGCTCAAGCCATCAGCTTTATCCAATCTCCTCCCATGTACACGTGTCAGGTTCAGGACTGCGGGGCTCAGGGCGTCCCCACATCCCCCACTGCTCCCGCCAGCAATGCCCCCGGGGGGGGGAAGGAATGGACAAGCCCTGGGACCAGAGTCAGAAGCCCTGCTCCACCTTTGCCCTTCGTGGGTGTGCCTCTGGGCAAGAAGGGACTCCTCCTGGAGGCTTAGGCTCTCTTCTCATCTACAACCTGGGGGCAGTGCGTCGGCGTCTGCCCGCCCCTCTCAGGGGCGGCTGTAGCGAGGGGTCCCCAAGAGGAGCGCCGTGTCTCGCGGTGCCGCAGAGCCCAGCCCCGCGCCCGCACCTGTTGTACATGTTCCAGAACAGCTGCAGGTTGGCCTGGTTCACCACGTTCCCGATCTGCTGCCGGTAGCTCTGCACCAGCTCCGAGTTGTTCATCAGCTCCTCCTGGGCCCGGGGACGGCGGGACAGACGGAGCACATGGATGGGGATGCAGGCTCAGTGGGGGCGGGCAGGTTTTGCCTGCTCAGAGCAGCCTTTGACCGCTCCAGGCAGGGAGGGGGGTGGAGCCCCCCCAAATGTGGGAGGCAGGACCACAGAGGGGAGGAGAGGGGAGGAGGGGGGAGGAGGGGGGGCTCCCCAGAGCCGTGGGAGGAGCCTCCCCAATCTGTCCCTTCCGATGCTCCAGCACCATGGTCTCAGCAGAGGACAGGCTGAGAAAGGTCAGGTGCCACATAACCCCCTGCCCTCCTTCTCCTGCCCCGCTGGGAAGGGCAGAAGCCCCCCAGAATCCCTGAGATGGGGCAGAACCAGGCCCTTCAGCAGCTGCCAAGGCTCCCCAAGACCACCAGCCTGGCCAGCCCTGGCGCCTGTGAGCACGGCCCCACGCCCTTACCTGGCTGAAGAGGTGAGAGAGCACCGTGTCCGGCAGAGTGCTGGTCAGGCCGGAGAGCTGCAGGCCGAGGTGGGGGTCAGTGCGAGAGCCGCCTCTCCCCACTCCCACCCCTGCCCCCGCCAGGTGGGCCACGCTCACCTTGGTGGCAGCCCAGTCAATCCAGCCTTTGCCGTTGGGGTCAATGTTCATCAGCACCAGTCCCTCCACCAGGTCGGGGAAGATAAGCTGCCGTGACAGGAAGACAGGGCTTGGGGGCCGGGGCCGAGACGGGTTGCGGGAGCCCCAAACTTCCCACCAACTGAACAGGCTGTAAAATTCTGGCCCAGTCTCACAGGTAGGCCCAACGGGCCACAGCTGGGAGCCTGGGTGGGCTCCACTTCCAGCTGCCCTCACTCATTCTGCCCAGCTGGAACCTTCCAAAATTCTTTGGTTTATTTTGAATCTATGCCTATATCACTATTTTTATGCCTACATTACTTCACCCATTTTAGTGTGTCTTTAGAGATGCTGCTGTTGTAAAACTGAGGATTAAATGTTTTTAACAGAACATTTTGTACACTGGCTAGTGTGGCTCAGTGGATTGAGTGCTGGCCTGCAAACCAAAGGGATGCAGGTTCAATTCCCAGTCAGGGCACATGCCTGGGTTTGAGCCAGGTCTCCAGTAGGGGGCGTGCAAGAGATAACCACACACTGATGTTGTTCTCCCTCTTTCTCCCTCCTTTCCCTCTCTTTAAAGATAAATAAATAAAATCTCTAAAAAACTAAAATTCAAAAAAAAAGAGAACATTTTGTTTCTTTGCTTTTCATAGACAAGGAAGCCCTAGTGGCGTTAATCATGTGAAAGCCAAAGCCTGCTTAGTTAGACCTGGTAAAAGGGACCCACGTTTTCTGTTCAGCTTTTTGCCCAAGTTCGGGGGGTGGGATACCGACAACGCTCACGTCATGCCACGGTTGGGGTGGCAGGAAACGGTCTACAGTTAACAAGATGGTTCAGCATTGAAACTGGAACTAGAGTTGAAAATTCTTGGTCATTTCTTTTGGAGAAAGAAATAATATGAATACTGAATGTTACGTTTTTGGTCTTAGGAACGAAAAGCATGTGGCTCCTACCCGACATGGTGTTTCATTAAACCATGCAAACCGAACAGTAGTGTAGTGTTTGGTTTCAACATGACTGTTTAAATATTACCCTAATTAGTGAATGAGTGATTAGGATAATCCTTATTTTGTGGCTGGAGCAATTAGTTGTATAGTTTGCTGCTAATAGAAATTTTGCCTTCAGATCATACTTAAGCAAGTTATAGTTAATAGTCTTTTGAGGAAATGTATGGAAAAAGTAACCTTTTTAAAAAGAAGTCCATTTCCTTGGAGACAAAAAGGAAAAAAAGGCTCTAAATAATAGGAAGTGGGGAGAAGAGAAGGAGAAGGAAGAGCGAGCAGGGAAGCGCCCGTGGCTGAAGAATGGCCGCAGGAAGCCCAGCCCTGGGCAGGGAGGGGGCAGGGCAGGGAGCTCACCGCAAACTTGGCCAGCACATAGGCTCCGGCTCCCACCCCGATGCCGATCACATACTTGAACCTGGCGGACAGCACAGCTGGTCAGTCTAGGGCCAGGGACGCCACTTCCCATAAATGGCACCCGCGCAGGCCCCACCCACAGCCCTTGGGCCTCCGCCAGAGCCTGAGGTTGGGGCGGGCAGCCCTGGGCCCCGTGCACAGGGACGGGGCAGGCGGGCACTCACCCGAAGTGCTGCACCACGCTGGGGAGCATGGCGGCCAGCTGCTCCATGGAGGGGTACTGGTACCTGCAGGCAGGCAGGAGGTCAGGCCCGGGGTGGCCTGGGGCGCAGGGCTGGGGAAAGTCAGGGGGGGCTGCGGGGAACCTACCCCTGAGGAAACTGGGACGCCCCCACCTGCTGGCCGGGGGCATCCACGTGGCACACCACGAAGTGCTTGGTGATCTCCTGCATGTCCTCGAAGTTGAAGAAGGTGTTGAAGCACAGCTTGTCTGCAAAAACACGCCTGTCGCTGAGCAGAGGGCTGGGAGGCCCTGGCTCTGCGGGCGAGGGGGAGGCAGAGGTGATCGGCCTCATGGTCCAGTGGGGAAACCAAGGCCCACGGGGCTGAGGACACAGCTGAGTGTGGTCGGGGCCCCATAGGGCCCTGGGTGGAGGGCGGGGAGGCCTCACTGTCCTGGCGGATTCGGGGCAGGGAAAGGCTGGGTGAGGCTGGGAGCACTTACGGTTGAGGCCCACGTCATGGTAGGTGAGGATAGCCGGGCGGTTCCCCTTGGGGGAGCCCCGGATCACCACGTGCAGGAGGCCATACGGAGTCTCAATGTCATGTTCCTAGAGGGGAGAGACAGGGCTGGGCACTCGGGGCAGCCCCCGCTCCTGGGCCCTCTGGGTAAAGAGGCTGCGGGGCGGCCTGCATGCCCCACGGGGGTGGGACATCCCAATCTCATCGCTCCAAGTGGCCGGCAGAGGGGATGTAACGGATGGAGCGCCCCCTCCCAGGGGTGGTCGGCACAGGGACAACGGGAACTGATCCACGTAGGAAAGCTCTGGGCCCTTTTGCAAGCTAGCCGGTGGGGCGAGCTGCCACAGCCAGGCCCTGCTGCAAGTGGCCCTCTAGGGGCCCGTGAGGCCCGTGGCCCCATCTGACTAGGACAGCTGTGCCGCCCCAGCCTGAGTCCCGCCCTCATCTCTTCCTCCTCCACCGCACATCCTCCTGGGGCTGCTGCTGCTGTTGGTTGGCTTCGGTCCCTGGTGACCGGCCCCACGCCGACCAGGCCCAGCCTCCAGCGCCCATGCCTGCCCTGGTCCCACCTCCGGGCTCTTGCTCCTGCCTTCCCTTCCACCTCGACTGTCCCTCCCTGTAGGACCCAGAGTCTCCCCTAAGGCAGGGCCCAGTTGGACACCTGCCTCCCCCGGCCTTTCATTGTGGCCACTCTGGGCTTGGCTCCTCGCCTGTTCACACCCTTGGTTTTGCTGCTCGGGGTCATTAGTCTTTCAGGAAGCAGGGGCTGGGTGCTGCGGGTTCAAGGCCTGCTCTGCCCCTCACTGTGTGCCTCTGAGCCAGGTACACGACTTCTCTGTCCCTCTGCCACCTCTTTCCCAGCCAGGGACTCTGTGAGACCTGAAGAAGCTGATGTCTGTGAAGTGCTTAGCATTTGGAGGGAGCCCCGGAAAGGGAGCTGTTGCGCCGGGGTGTCCTGGGCCTGGGGGAAGCCCTGCTGGCTGGTCCTTCAGCAAACTGGTTGGCCGCTCTACGTCACAGGACGGGGGCTCCGTGAGGGGCTATCCAAGCAGGACACACAGCCCAGCCCTGCGCCGCTGGGGTCCTGGGAGCCGGCCCCTCGGTTGCAGGTGGGGCTGGGGGAACAGCCCAGAGGGAAACAGCGCAGCCCTTGACTGAGCACCTACTGTGCGCCAGGCATCTGCAGGAAAGCAGGAGCTCTTTCCCCTATTTTGCACGTGCTGGACACTTAGGTTCAAAGAGAACCAAAGTTCCTCCCACAACAGGTAAGGGACAGACTCAGGAGGTAGGAGACATTCTTAGGGACTAGCCTTTTGGGTCTAGGCTCAGTGGACCACTGTCCTGGCCTGTGTCTCCAGCGGGGAGTGACAAGGTGGTACTGACCCCATGGCCAAAGGCCAAACCCTGGGAGCCATAATTCTGCTGTGAGGTCCTATTAGACACACCCTGTCACCCTCTGGTGGGGGGGCCCAGGTCCACCACAGCCTTCCACGTCGCAGGCCCGTCCTCCTCCGTCAGGGCCACCAAAACAAGGAACGCTTCCTGCTCACCGGCCACCGACTGCACTCTTTTCACTGTCTCCTCTTTCACTCCCCACAGCGACCCAAGCCTCAGAAGAGCGAGCCACCCAAGGTCAAGCCCAGAGGGCAGGGCAGGGCAGGGCCAGCGCAGACCTCAGGGGAGCAGTGCACTGAAGGCCCCTGAAAGCGCTCTTTCCTGCAGAGATCAAGCTCCACCCAGGAAACTTCCAAGCAGGCAGCCACTGCGCTGCTGAGGCTGCCGCTGTACGGCCAGGCTGGGTCCCCAAACCCACCCCTTGGCTCTAGAGGATGGGGTCAGGGGCAGGAGGGGTGCACACCCGCTAGAGAGCCAGGGGCTGGGGGGCAAGTGGAGGCCCATTTAACAAGCGCTGCAGTGCGCTTCCTGCGGCACGCAGGGCAGTTCCTCGCAGCATGGGGTCACCTTTCGCCCTTCCAGGCACAAGTGGGGCGCAGGACGAGTCTTTCACACCCAGACAGTCCGTAGCTGTAAGTGAGGGGGCGTCTACCCCTCCCAGCCCAGGTGTGATCGCCCCATCACTATCGCTGGGCAGCGGGACCCAGCAGCTGTGCCTGCCCCACTAAGGCTCAGTTCCCCGGGGACAGGCATTGGCCGGGTGTCCCTTCCGCGGGGCCTGCCCACCAGGAGCTCAGACCTAGGGCCGCCGAATAAGAGGCCGAGCGCCCCAATCTTTCCGGGGGCTGCACACGGAGACGGGGCAGGGGGCGCCCCCAGGGCGGCAGCGGCAGGCTTGGAGCCCCCAGCCCCAGGACCGAGTGTTCCCATTGGCTCCCGGTGACGTCACCGCCCCGCGCCCCGAGGTGGGCGCCCGGCCGGCCGGCGGCACTGCGGCAGCCAGGCCCCCTCGCCCTTGACCTTGACGGCAGCGGCCCCGAAGCTGGTTTCGGGGCACCAGGGTGGGACGGGAAGGCTACTGCGCTTCCATCCGTCGCCCCCGCGTCAATCATCCAGCGGACCGCGGGCTGCACGGGGGTGGGGGGCGCTGACGTCGTCGCCTTGGGTGCAGGAGACCCGTAGTCTGCGGACCGGGCTAGGGGACGGAGGACGGGGCGCGCCCCTGCCTCTCCCTCACTAGGTGGGCAGGGCTGCCGGGGCGGGAGGAGGCGCCCTGGAGCCCACCTGGGGCCGTCCGCAGGCTCAGGACCCCACATTGCCTTCCCCCGCCCGGGGAACAACAGAAGGCACTGCGATCCCCCGCGTCGAAAGGCCCGGCGAGCACCCGGACACAGACCTCCCCGCAGCGCCCTAGGGACCGTGGAGCGGCTGCAGCACCTCCTAAGGAAGGAAGGCGCTGTCCTGCTTGCACTCCGGTGCAGCCATGCAAACAAGACAGCCCGCAGGGCCAGGGGCGCGGACACCCGGGCGCACGGACGCCTGGACACACGCACGGAACACAGCCGTGGCCGGGGCCGAGGTGGCCCCAGGAGCGGGGAGCCCCGCGCCGGGCACGTGCCAGGAGATGGGCGCACGTCAGCGGGATGCACACACGGTCCGCACAGACTCTCAGCCCAGTCTCAGCCCGGTCCGCGCGCTGCACATTTCAGGCCCTGATTGGCAGCTCGCCCCCAATCGCTGCCGGGGGCCGTGGTCACCAGGAGACCACAACATGCTGGCCTCGCTCCAGTTCTCCCCACGGCGAGGCGATCACAGGCAGATGGGACAGCAGACAGAGGCGGAGAGATGCCCCTTCCGCCGCAGCAACCTCCGGGCCCCCGCAACCCTCACTCACCCCATCCCAGCACTCGGGCATCTTGCCGAGGGCGGCGACACGCCTCGACAAGGAAGGACAAACAAAGGCCTGAGTCACTGGAGTCCAGGGGCAGAGGCAGCTCCAGCGGGAAACGAGCGGCTCTGGGATGGGGCGCCGCTCCCGTGACTGTTTATATGCGGGGCCTGCCCGCCCTAGGCCGGTCCCTCCTCCCTGCGGGGCTTCTGAGCAGCCACTCGCTCGCCGAGAGCAGCGGCTTCCAGATTGGCTGTCGGGAGACAAACCTGGCTCTGATTGGCTCCTAAGGTCCTCGCTCACCCAGTCTCCTGTTACCCACCCCCTCACCCCCATCAACACCTCATCCTTGAGGGCCCCCAGCCCCTGCCTCCGCCAGCCCCAGCACACAGGCACACATCGCAGGCTGCAGCTCTAGCTGCACGCGAGTCCTGGGAAGATGGGACACTGGGCCGTGGGCGCAGGTGGGCCCTGTGTCAGGTACACGGGGGCCTGTCACCCACGCCCACACCATGCGGGGCACGGCGGCCACACAGGCTTGCCCTACACAGCACAGCCCTGACCCCTGGCCTGGGGAGCAGGGAGGGGCCTGAGAGGGCCCCAAGCCCGGCCTCCACCCCAGGAAGGCCTGCCTCACAGCCTCGGGGAGTCGCTGCTGCCTGGGGCAGCCTGGGCCACGACCCTGCTGCAGGAGACTGCTCCTTCTCTGCCACCCGAGGGTCTCTGGAGGGCAGCTGCCGCTCTGCCCACCCACATGCCCAGTGCCTGTCCATGCTGCTGCAAGGGGGGTCCTGGGGCCAGGGGGCTGGGGCAGATGGCAGGGCCAGCAGTACGGTGTGCACACACCAGCTCTGCCCCCCACCCCGTCCTGCTGCAAGGACTGGAGGCCACCACGGAGAGGAGGAGCGGCAGGCCCACCTCCCACAGACCTGCCCAGCATGGGCCTGGCTCCCACACAAGCCACCTCAGGCTCCATCCGTGCCCCGTCCTCCGGGGAAACAAGGCTTTGGGTGGGAAGCTGGCTGGAGACATGCAGGCAGAGAAAACAGAGGGAAAGGGGGAGCACAGGAGAGCAGAGAGGAAATAGGCCAGGGATGGGCCAGAGGAGAGAGCCCAAGGACAGAGAGGAGGAGGGGGGACAGAGAGAAGGGAGGGGCGCTGGGCGCCTGTGCCCCGATTCTGTCTCTTTGGTGAAGGACTGCGCCACTGGCCCCAGCCCGCGCCGACAGCCCTGCACACTGGCTGGCTGCTCTCGGGGGAGGCAGTCACCTCCCCGTCTCTGGGTGCCTAGTGGCCTGGTCAACACCTGCCGTCTAGGCTATTCCTGGCCATGTCCTGTGCCTGAGGGGCATGAAGAACGTTCCCTGCCCCGTCGCTGACCTCTCGCTCTGGAGGCCCAGTGCGGGGCGCCAGGCCCTGCGCTTGCCCAGGGCAGCCAGGGTGTGGAACGGGGTGTCCCCGGCCCCTTGTGCCCCGGCCACTCTCCCCGTTCCTTGCAGCCGCGTGGGCACAGGAAGAGGCTGCAGCCACTGAGGCAGGCTGCAAAGGCACGGCCCCTAAGATCCTCCCATATGCTCCAGCTCCCCACCCCCGAGCTGGGTGACCTCGGGCAAGGCTTACAGGAATTGTGCCTTCCCGCAGAGTTGCTATGAGAGTGAGAAAAAGTTCCCTGAATCACTGTAGACCTGACCCCGTGCCTGCCCAGGCCCTGCCCGCATCTGGAAGAAATGGGACAATACGTGTCCCTTTCCAAACTGCTGGCTCCCTCCCTGGAGGCTGTGCAGTGGCTGAACAGGGCAGGCTGTGGTCCTGCTGGCTGAACCCAGTCACCAGTCATAGCTCTGCCCTGTCTTTGCTGTGTGACCTTGGGCAAGTCAGTCAACCTCTCTGAGCCTCCACAGCTGTAAACGGGAAAACAGCAGCTCTAAGGGTAACACACAAACCTATGAGAAAGGGTCAGGAAACCGAAGCTTACTCGCACCTTCATGCTCATTATATCTTCCTAACACCCACTCTGCAGAGGAGGAAAATGAGGCAGGGGCTGGCTGCTCTGGGATTTCATGTCACCAGCCCCCTCCCGGGGAGGAGGTCTGTGTGTCCACACATCCCCGCCGTCTTTCAGAGCAGGAAGGACAAAGAGGACTCCTTGGCGTGACCGCACTGATCCCTTTTTGGGCCTCAGCTGTCTGGTAGCCACCCTCCTCCCATCTCTCTCTCCCTGGGCTCCTGCTTGACCCTCCTCCCCAGGTCCTGTCTTGTCCTTCCAGCTCCGGCGCCCTTTGTGTTTGTAGCTGGGACTCCTGCGTCCTTGACAGGCTCGTGACCCAGGGCCCGGCTCAAGTCTGAATCCTCATGCAGGGCTGCCTGACTGTCTGGGGGAGGAGCCAGCCTGTCGCCCCATCTCCTGCGTCGCCCTTGCGTGCAGACGGTGAGGCTGGGGCTGTCCTGGGGCTGGGAGACTGATCCAGGTGGAAGTCAGGTCCAGGCCAGGGAGCGGGGGGTGGGGGACAGTGCCAGAGAGCCAGGAGGAAGGTCCCAGAAAGGTATGAGTTTGCCCAGCATATTGTGGTGGTCAGCGGGGCCTGAAACTGGCGGAGATCCCCCTGTGTCTGCTGCCAGATGTTTCCCGAGACCCAGAACTCAATGGCTACCACAGACTCGGAGGGCAGAGATGGCTGGACAAATGAGTGAAATCATTGTGAGGAGGAATAAAAACAAAGAACGATTCCAGTGTTCACAAGGAATCTGGCTTCAAACTAAAGAGGACGTGGTTGTCCTGGCAACAGCTGCCATGGCAACAGGAGCTATTTTGGAGCATCAGCCTGGCTTTCATTGGAGGAAAATGCTGATTCAGATGACAGCATCCCTCCCTCTGGTCTCCATCCTCACTCCCCCAGGCCTCCCTTCCCCCACCCTACTCAGGGAGGGGGTCATCTTCCCACCAGGCAGGGGGCAGGCGGAGCCACTGCAAGCAGCAAGGGTGGTCCTGGAGGCTGCGAGAGGGGACGAGGTAAGGAGCGGTTGCTCCAGGAAGATGGAAGGGTGTGACCCTCCCCTGGGACGAGGCTGGGTGGGTGAGGGGCCGTCCCCGTCTCTCCATCTCCCCGTCTCCCCGTCTCCCCGTCTCCCCGTCTCTCCGTCTCGGGGAGGCTGAGAGCTGAAACCTACCTTCCAGTCTGTGTCCGCGGCCAAGAGGAAGGGGTCGGCATTCTCCTGAGGGAGCAAACAGAGGGGGTGGGCGTTAGGCCCTGGCTGGCCAGGGGCTCCACAGGGGCTTGGCCCATCCATCTTAATGCTGACAAAAGTGATCCAGGGCTTCCCAAGCACCAGGCATCAGGCTAGTAAGTGCCTGACGGACAAGCCTACCAACAGCCACTCCCATCGATTTTCCTGATTCACGTAAAATGTGAAGATTTCCATTGACAGGAGAGTGGAGTGAGGCTCACAGAGGCTGAGTCACAGGGCCACCAAGTGGTGGCACCTCGGACTCCAAGTCCTCGCTGTTGGCCACTGTCCTGCTGCCCCCCCAGATGGTTTTCAAGGTCTGACTATCATGGCCCAAGGGCAGAGGTAGCCACGCCTGCCACACCCACGTGAGGGACCTGGCGGTTGAGGCCCCGGCACCCACGCCCCGGCCTTGCGCTGTCAGGGCGTCAGGTCCTGTCTGGGGCTCACTTACGCCGACCAGTGTGTGTCTGTCACTGGTGCCTGTTTCTCCCATGGGCCTGCAGGCACCACCAGGGTGGGACCACGTCTGGCTCTGCCGTCCGCATAAAGCCTGGCATGGAATGGGCTCCCCAAAGAAATCTGGATAAGCCCTGGCTGGTGTGGCTCAGTGGACTGGATGCCAGCCTGCAAGCCAGGGTGCTGGTTCGATTCCCAGTCAGGGCACAGGCCTGGGCTGCAGGCCAGGTCCCCAGTAGGGGGCGCATGAGAGACAACCACACATTGATATTTCTCTCCCTCCCTTCCCCTCTCTCTAAAAATAAATAAGATCTTTAAAAAAAAGGGTTACCATAAAAATATCTAGACGAACGAGTCTGACATCGAGAATGTGGGGACCGTGGCTCAGAGGAACCCACTACTTACAAGGCGGCAGACGTGCAGAGTAAGGCGTGGGGACTCCGCCCCATGTGTTCAGACACTGCGCCCTCCCTGGGGCTTTTCTGGGGAAGGGAACCTGGGCAGGGGGTGCTCAGCACATGCCCAGGAAGAGCGAGATGCCGGGAGCCTCTCTGCTCTGACCTGCAAGGCTGAACGGCTCAGCCTGGAGCCTCGACGCCCACGAGATTCAAGGAGACGCATGGACCGCTTCTCGGCCTTTTGGCTGAGACGGACTATAGCATCTGCTCTCACCACTTCCAAGGAGGAGTGTGGTATTGGCTGTGGTCCTGTCACTGGTACTGGACAATCCTGCACGAGACTCTCTGCCCCAGTCGTACCACAAGCCTCTACTAAATCAGCAACAAGGGAGGTGACCTCAAGTCACAGGAGAGGGAAGGAAAAGAATGAAAACCAGCAAGCCACCTGCCCCTGGCCATTGGGGTGGAGAGGGCGAGGGACCCAATCCAATGGCACTAGAGGGTCTCAGGCCCAGGGAGGAAAGCCAGGCTTCCGGGGACAAGGCTGGTTGTTGGTGAGTCCTCTCGCTGGAAGACCAGGCACCAGGGGGGCCAGGGAAACACATGTGGCACATTTTTGTCCTCGAGAGCCCCAGGGTTCAGTTATGTCAAAGGAGGAGGGAGGGGGCAGTTTTGTTAAAAACAAATCAACACAGAGGGCGAGGCTGATGCCGGTAGGGTGTGCTGGGTGCTCTCAGGGTGCTGGGGCGGGCGCAGAAGGGGCAGGACCGCAAACCAGGAAACCGCAGGAATGATACAAGGCAGCCTGGAGACCCCGGGGGTCAAGGAGGAACTGCGCCGGTGGAGGGGGGGTCTGGGGGGGGGACGGGGCGCAGGAATGGGAATGGAGGGGTTAAATGTGAGGGAGTATTCACTCCTCCCTGGACTCAGAGGGCTTGCACCAAGCAGGTTGAGGAATAAAAAGGGGCAGACATTCACACGCCGCAGCTGGGAAAGGAGACTGCGTGTGGGGAACAGGCGGCCAGCCAGGGTCGCTCTGCAAGGCAGAGCAAGGCAGGACTGCACCAGGTGTCACGGAAATCAGCCAAGGCCACGCTGGGGACACCCGGGAGGTTTGGGGGGTTGGGAGCAGGGCATTCATGTGCCTTTGGAGAAAGCAGATGTGACCAGGTCCGCGGCACAGGGCTCACGCTGAGCAGAGACAGGACAGAAACCGAACTGGAGACCCACAGCTTCCACGGTCACTGAAACGCGGACCCTCGTGCGGGGCGGGGGCATCTCGGTGCAAACTCTCATCCAGGTTCAGGCGGGATGAGGCGAGAGACACCAAAGGCAGCAGAAAAAAGGCAGTGCCAGGCTGCTGGTCAAAGGGGGCCGTGTTCATGGGGGAGCAGCAAAGGGCAGGGCCAGGCCATCAGAGCAGGGGTGTGGGGTGCCCCGCTGAGGTGAGGGGTCGAAGAGACAGGCACAGGACACATGTGCAGCCAAGATGCACTGAGCTCCCTGCGCCGCCCACAGACGCACATCCTGTACCAGCCAGCAGCAACCCCCTCCCATCCCAAGCCCCACACCTCTGCTTGTGTGCTGGGCGCAGGGGTCCCCGAGGGCCACCATGAGCCTCATCATGCCCACACAAGAAGGCAGGTCTCTGCTTGAGTTCTTCTGAGCTGCATCCCCATTTACAGCTTCCACTGTGCGCGAGCCTTTGGGTTGAGCGCAGGGAGGCGCTGGGGTACAAAACCCACCGGGTCCCTGCTCCGAGCCTTTGGGGCAGGTCCCCGGAGAAGTGGGCGCTAGGCCAGGCACAGGGCCTAGTGGGGTGTCGACATTAGATCCAGTGCTCAGAGGAGGCCTCTCTGAGGAAGACGCATCTGAGCAGAGCCCAAGTAAAACGAGGGCCAGCCCTAAAATGTCCTGGGCTGGCGTACACCAGGCACAAGGAACAGCTGGAACCCGGGCGACGGGTCCCGGGAAGAGCAGAGAGCCTGGGAGGCAGGCGAGGAGCGAGCAGGGGAGGGCGTGGAGGGCAGTGGGGGTCTCACCCTGGGCCCCGGAAGGACCGCACCTGTAACTCGGGGCGAGCTGGCAGCCAGGGACCAGCTTTAAGCAGAAGAGTGACATACATATTTACAGAGGGTTGTGCAGAATAAAGCGGCCTGTGAGGGGCTCCCGCAAGCGTTTGGACAAGAGATGATGGAGGGAGGGGGACGAGAACAAGCGGCCCGCCAAGTGCGCAGCTCACCAGCCGTCCCCTGACCGTTCCTGGGGGCCGCCCTCAGATAATCAGGACTTACAAGTTAACTCAAGGCTCTGTCTTAAGATAAGACTGTATTCTTCTCGGGGGCAGGACGGCTGGCCTCATGGGGCCCTGGGCAGCCAATCTGTCCCAGCATGTGGCACTCAGTGGCTCTTGGGCTTACCTCCTTTCGGTGGGAGGCTGGGGGAGGGCAGCCACGGGGTCTGGGACTGGGGTCCTGGCTCCCCCACCTGTAAACTGGGAGGCAGGGTGGGGACCGGGACCGCACAACCAGCAGAGAGCCCCTGGCCGGAGGCCCCAGAAATCCGTGAGTGTGGACCCACGGCTGCGTCTCGCAGGGAGGGGAAGGTGCCAGAATCTCCCAAGCAGGGAAGTGTGGGTTAGAAATAACTGGACTCTAACCCTAGAGCCCTGAGGAGGGCCCTTAGGAACAAAGTAACAACCTCAAGTGTCCCACCCCTCTTGGTGGTGGTATGTGCTCCCAAACCTCAGAGCCTGCGAGGAAAAGACGGAGAAGCTCAGACCAGGCAAGGCCGAAGCCCGTGCCCCTGCTGGACACCGCCCTGCTCCGCGGGCACTCCTGAGGCTCGAGGGCCTCCTGGAACCCGGGCTTGCGTTCAGCCTCAGCCCTCGATTACTGTGTGACCTTGGCCAAACGAACTGACCTTTCTGTGTCTCCGTTTTCTCATTATTGAAATGGCAGTGACTCTCCTCAAGGGCGGCCAAAGCCACCGAGGTGGGCTGGGCGGTAGTGGTGTGGCCACTTAGCCAGGCGGGGGACACTTCCGAGGCGGGGACAAGGCTTCTCAGGGTGGCCTGAGTGAGCGGTCCCCAACTTTTTTGGCACCAAGGACTGGTTTTTCTACAGACCGTGAGGGCTGGAGGGGTCAGGAGGCGGAGCTCAAGCGAGTTTCACTTGCGCAGCTGGGTTCCTAACAGGCCACGGATCGGTACCCGTCCGCGGTCCCGGGGTTTGGGACCCCTGATTTGAGTATTCCTGGTGGGAGGCTCACCCCAAGAGAGGGTCAGTGGGGCAAGACGGGAGGAAGACACGCGTTTTTCTTCTTGGCCACCAGGGGGTGCCCTCCGTCCCAGGACCGCGCGGGGGCCACTCACCAGCTCGGCGGCGTCCTGGCCCCTCAGCAGCGGCTTCTCCTCCGGGAATCGCAGCTCCTGCAGCCCGGCCATGGTCACGTCGTGGAGCAGGAGCCCTGGGGAGGGGCGAGGACTAGCGTTGGGGCCCGATGTGGCAGGGGCACCAGGTCCTTGCTGCGCCCCTCCCAGCGCACGCCGGGGCTGGGGAAGGAGACCAGGCACGGCACCGGCTGCTCCATCTCGGGTCCCCTCAAGCGTGGGGCCGGCCCAGCGCTTCCCCCCGCGGCAAGGCGCCGGGCTCCGCTGCTTGGCGCAGGGATGCCATTGTATTATTTGTTCTTAAAAGTTAAAGTATGTTGCAAAAAACAGTAAGGAAAAGAAAAGCAATACAGGATAACCCCTAAAACAATGTCCAGAAAATTTCTGCATTTATTGAGAGGCAGGCGGACCAGTGTAGGGAAGCCAAACAAGGGGTCAGAAGCAACCAGCAGGCCCTGGTGGTCCAAGAGGACACAGACAGGAACAGAGCTGAGGGGTGTCCAGAGGGCCTCGGAGGACAAGCCTGGATGGCGGCGGCCCTGGAGCGGGGTGCCTGGCAGGGTGGCAGGCAGAATCACGTTGAAGCAGGGCGTGCCTGCCGTGACACACCACCCGCAGGGAAGGGTGACGCATGGTAACCACTCACCCCACAGACACCAAGAGGTAGGTCCAGGCCCTGGGGGGTGCTCCTGGGAGACCCCGGGCCTCTGAACCTCAGGAGAGGATAGGGCCATATGTGCACATGTGTGTATACATGCATGCCTGTGTGTGCATGTTTGGAGGAGCCAGTGGTGGGGAGGGGGCACACAGAGAGGGTCCCAGGACCCCACAGCCCACTGAGCCTGGTACCATCACCCCTCACCTGCTTAGATCAGAATAAACACATGAGAAAACATGAAAGCTCACTAGAAGTCAAAGAAAGTTAGGTGAAAACAAGACCCTTTTTTTTGGCCAAAGGAACTTGCAAACTTCGCGCAGCTGGCAAAGATGTACTAAAGCTGGCACTTCTCTTAGGTTGCTTGTGGGTGTAGGAATTGATACATCTTTCCGGAGGGCAGTTCTGCAGGATGAGTTAAAGCTATTTAGAAGATTCATACTCTTGGACTCAGCCATCCTCTCTCTTGAAGACAGTTCTTAAGGAGTCCGGAGAGGGCATCTAACGATTGATCTGTAAGAATGCTCACCACAGGGCCATTTACAGTATCAGAGAAAAACAGGAAGGCGCTATGTGTCCACGAACAGGGCAGGAGACACAGAAACTATGCGTCAGTAACTTCTAAAAGATACCGCCTAACATGGGACAATGCTTGTGTCTACTGAATAGAAAAGGCAATTATAAAATATGCAGTATCCAAATTATGAGAAATACACACAGCCCCCCCCCCCGCCCCGCACACACACAAAAGCCTAGAAGGATGTGCATCCTGAAGTTATCAGGCACCATCCCGGGTGGAAGACTGAACACTGCAGCCTGTCATCTGAAATCAGGAAAAAACATTAAAAAAACCCCCAAAACTATCTGGTTTAAGATTGATAACAATTGCTTTCTCTTGTGCAGAAAGGATGGGATAGCTCACAAAGCACTTTCTTGTGCTATTTGATTTCACCCTGATGGGCAGTGAGAGGAGGAAGCCACGGGCACGAGAGGGTCACTGGCAGGTCCAGAGGGGCCAGGCCTGGACACAGGGTCCTGGGACACCTGGTTCAGCCCAGCGCCTGACCTGACCCTCTCTCCCTCCCACCCTGTCTTCCTTCCCAACTCTGTTTTTAGCCCTGCGTAAGCGCCAAGCCCTCAGGCTTTCCCTTCTGCCCCAAAGGCTGCCAGTCCCACTAGTGTTCAGCCCAAAGATGCACCCCGCTGCCCCGCCACACCCCCCCTCTGCCCATCCCTGCTGCTTTGGCTTCTCCCCGTGGAAGGCCCAGTGGCTGCAGGGGGTGGGCATTGGCCCAGCGGTTGCCTGGGGTCCAGGGACACAGGGCCCCAGACGGAACCCATTTCTGTGGCAGGGCCGTCATGAAACCAGGCTGCAGCTCCACAGCTTCCCTGGGCGGCCTTCCCTCCCATCAGAAGAGCAAAGCATCAGCTCTCCAGAGTGTTACAAAGATGCTATCGCAATGCATGGGGGTCCCCACTGGAGTCTACTTCGGGGCTGAGATGTGCCGAGGCTGGGCTGGGAGCGGCTGTCAACCAGGCCTCGTGGAAGGCCAACCGAGAGCTGTGCAGCGCCCTGGGAGAGCCCTGTCCCCAGAGGCCGGGCAGGGGGGCTGGTGCCCGCCCAGGCCTCCGGTCCCGCATCTCCGTGCCATGCCAGAGCGTGTGGTTCCCAGTGGTTTCCGGGGAAACCAGCTAACACAGTGCAGATGGGCTGTATTTTTAGCATGGCGTCCGCTCCCCTCGCCCCCACCCCTTCTCTTCCATCCTCTCTGACGGCGGCAGGCTCACCCACCCATCTGGGCGGGGAGCTAACGGAAGGGTCCCACCCTGGAAAACTCTTCCAGGACTTTTTTAGCTGCCAGCTTCGCTGAGCACCCAACTCGCTTAAACACCTTAGCAGCACCGGGGTACCCCGCCCCCACTCAGGCCTGCTCTGAAGCAACCCAGGAAACCACCATCCCTAAGGACGGTGCTATTAAAAGGGCTGAGAGTGGGCAGTGCAGGGACAGATGGCCCGCGATGGAAGGGTGGAGGGGAAGACGGCTGGAGAGAAACCTCAGGATCCGGAGAAGTGGGGCTGCCTCAGCCCACGGGAAACAGACAGCCCCAGGCCCAGCGGGCCGCACCCGGGGCTCAGGCGCATGGGGCTCCGGAACGAAGGCCAGGGCCGACAGTCCCATGGAGGTGCAGGGAAGGCTCTTCCTAGGAAAGTTATGATTTAAAAACGCCCTGATTGGTGAGGCTCGGTGGACTGAGCACCGGTCTGTGAACCAAAGGTTCGGTTCCCAGTCAGGGCACACGCCTGAGTTGCAGGCCAGGTTCCCAGTAGGGGGCGCATGAGAGGCAACCACACGCTGACATTTCTCTCCCTCCCTTCCGCTCTACAGATAAATAAATAAAATATTTTTAAAAATTTAAAAAGTCACTGTGAAGAACAAAAAGACTCACAGATACAGAGAATATTTTGATGGTTGCCAGATAGAAGAGGGGATGGGAAGCTGGGTGAAAAAGGTGAAGAGATTAAGAAATATAAATCGGTAGTTACAGAATAGTCGTGGGGATGTAAAGTACAGCACAAGGAATATAGTCGATGATATCATAGTACCTGTGTATGGTGCTAGGTGGGTATAGGCTTTTCGGGGTGAACACTTTGTTAGATACATAAATGTCTAATCACGCCTGATGCTAATAAAATATCGTCTATCAACCAAAGGCAGTCTGGAGTCCTACAGGTAGATGGCCCCTCATATCACTCTCTGTGTCCCCGTCCTGAGCTTTGGTTGGGTTGGGGGGGGCGCTGGGATGGGGACTAGACCTCCCCTCAGTGACCCCATTCACAGATGAGGAAGAAAAGGCTCAAAGGGGAAGCGACTGTCCCCCTGTGGCAGATTCAGGAAGGGAGCCCAGGCCCGAGCGCCGAAGCCCCGCTCCACAAGTGTTCCGTCTCCCTAGGCAGACGGCAGGCGGGTTCGGGGGGTGCCGTTTTTTTTTCTTTCCCAGCCATAATCTGCCCTCTCTAGCCTCAGCCCCTGGATTCATACCCAGCCTGACCTAGACCAGCTCCCCTGCTTTATCCTTACTCTGGACCTGTGAGTCCCTTCAACACAAGCGCGCGCACTGGGCTTTCCAACACGTTCTCACTGCGCTCCAGGCTGCCCTGTTTGGATTCTGACACTCAGAGCAAAAGAGCCCCGCCGACTCCGTAGGCCCAGCCTGCCCACAGGGCGCGCCAGCCTTTGATCATGCTGTTCCCCCTGCCCGGAGCGCCTTTCCCCTCAGACCCCTGCAGTAACCACAACCATTTCTCTCTTCTGCTGACACTTGATAGGTTTGGTTGAATGAGATGAGATGATCGCACAAACCAAGGACTCTTCGCTGAGACTGAGCACGGTTAGGGGATCGGTGCCGTTCTTGGCCGGCACCGACTCTCATGGTTGGACTGCAGTGGGTTCCCCTTCGTTGAGAGGGCAACTTGGTAGTTTATGAAAATGCCGGTATCTGCCAACTCTGCAGTCCTGTCTCTAGGCGTTCATTTATCCTGAGGGAAGAAGCCCACGTGCATGCTAAGCGTGGAGAACACTGGCCGAGGCCCTGTCCGGGGCAGCAAGACAATGGCAACAGCGCAAGTGAGCACCAGGAGCGTGCACACAGGAGCTCGGGGACCCCCACACCCCGTGTGCCACGGGGCGATTTAAAAAAGGAGGAAGCTCCACGCAGACAGACAGGGAAAGCATTCTAACGTAGGCAGTTAAGAGAAAAAGGCATGTCACAGATGGGTAAGTATAAATAAGACCATTTTTGTGAAAAATGTAGGTACACATATTTGCAAATTTAAAAGAAAAGGTCCTCAAATGATTCAGGGTAACTGTAACAATATTTATCTGTAGGGAAGGACACAAGCGTGGAAGGGTAGAGAAAGGAGGTTGTGCCCTGGCTGGTGTGGCTCGGTGGATGGGGTGCCGGCCTGCAAATGAATGGAAAGGTGGCCGGTTCGATGGCAAGCCAGGGCCCAGGCCCGGGATGCCGGCCTGGTCCCCAGCTGGGGGCGTGCAAGAGGCAGCTGGATCGATGCTGGTCTCCCTCTTCTCCCTCTCTTCCCCTCTCTCTAAAAACAAATAAATTTTTAAAATGGGAGGTTTTTATACAACATAGCAGATTTCATCAAATCTAAGGTATCACTGATCATAATACACTCTCACATTTTATGCACCAATAGATAAGGGAAAAAAAACCATTGCCAATATTAAGACATAACACTTTTCCCATCTTCTAACTTTTTGTGTTGAAACACCTTTAGACTTATAGAAAAACAGAGGAGACAGAGCACAGAAATTCCCTACAGACCCTTTACCCAGCTTCACCGGATGCTACCGAGCTGTCTCATGCAATTCGAGAGACCAGGAAATAAAACACCAATACAAT